CCTGCCTGCAACATGTCTTTGTCATCTCTGCACAGCAACTGAAACTCTCTGGTCCTTCCGTTGCTAGACTGTAAGGAGGACTGTGGTAGGGATAGCAGGTGGTTTTGCTAATCATTATCAGACCCTTCAAAAGTCCAGTAATTCTACCATCTCATTTATTTATTTATTTATTTTTGGTACCGGGAATTAAACTCAGGACCTTGTGCTTGCCAGGCAGGTGCTTGTGCCGCTGAGCTATATCCCCAGCTCTACCAGCTCATTTAATCCAGGCTGGCAACCTGGTGCTGTTGCTATCGTCAGTATCCCTGTTTGACAAGTGAAAAACCTGAGGCATATCTAGGTTACTTAGTGTGCCTGAAGTCACACAGCCATGGGACCAAGCAGCCTGATGCAGGAGCACCCCACTTGGTTGCCCATTAGGATTTAGAAACTGTATACCTGGGTACCAGGCTTGTGGTAGGAGGTGAATTAAGTTAGGCTGGGCATGCCACCCCGAGTTGCCAGCTTGTGCCTAGTAGCTGAGGGGTCACTCGGCTGCCAGACCCAGTACGACCTCAGATCCTTTATCCTTTCTGATGACAAAGAAATGGGCATGGGAAAAGCTCAGAGTCAAGAAGAGAACATTGTTTCTGAGATGGGTCCCAAAGGGCTTGCTACCTGACTCCTTCACAGAAATGAGCCAGCCATGGGACACAGGTCCAAGAGCCAGGCCGGAAGAGACATTCCTCAGGGAGAGACTTGGCACAGCACCTTCAGACCAAGGGGAAGGTTGAGACCAAGTTCCATGAAGCAAACCGTTCTCCCTGCACACCTGCAGCTCCAAACAGAACACTGTACTCCTGACCTCAAGAATTCACCATGGCTCGCCACTGCCTCCAGAGTTCCAACTCCCAACATGGATTCACACTGCAGTTGCTGAAGCTACCTTTCTGACCCCATCTCCCCCGCTCCCTTCTGTCTGGTGGGTGCTAGCCCCCATTCCCCAGACATGTCAAGGTACATTTATGTCCCTCTGTTTCCCCTACTTCCAAATCAGGCCGCATCTGACAGTGTAGAATGGGCTGCACTGATCCATCCTGGTGCGACCTGGCAGGGTGTAATCCATGGAGCGACAGTGAGTGCTTCTGTGTGGGAGGAAAGCAGCTGGAACTCTCATTCTATGAATATCAGCCAGACAAACAGAAAACTCAGTAGTACTCAAGTAGCCGTTACCAAATAGTTTACAGTTCCCAGCTCTTCTGATGGATGGATGCTGAGCCATCACTTACTGTTGGTTTAGATGTGATAGGTTCCAGGCATGTGGAGAGGAAGAAGAATCATACATAGGCAAGGAATGGTGCCATCCATCTTTGGTGGCAGCACCAAAGACCCAAATCTAGCCTGTTCTCAGAGGTTCCAGCAGGCAGCTAGGAGCCAGCTCAGAATTCTTCCCCACTGACCAGACTGATCTGTGTCCAGATGCCACCAAATAGCACCTGGACATTCGTCATCATTTGGGTTTTTTCTCCCTAATTTCCAGCATTTTGATTATTTCCTCTTAGTGTACAAGAGTATATTAAGTAATATGAAGTATATTAAGAGCATATTAAAGCATGTAAGTTAAGAATATTATTTCACTCTGTGTTAGCTCTTGGTTACTGTGACAAATGCCCAAGATAATGAACTATAAAGAGAGAAGTTTCACTTGGCTTGCAGTTTGTGAGGCTGCATCTGTGGTCACTTGTCCTCATCACTTTGGGCCTGTGGCAGCCCAGGACAGCATGGCCGAAGTTGCATGGAGCAGATCCACACACTCTATAGCAGCCAGGAAGCAGAATGGGAAGAAGGGACTAGCACTGCACAATGCCCTGCCTTCCACCAGGGCCTGTCTCTTACAGGTTCCACACCTCCCAATAGCAAGGGGGCTGGGGGCCGAGCTTCAACACACCGGCCTCGGGGGGACCCTCCAGATGTTGATGTCCCCATCTTTATATGGCAGATCCATCACTTTCTGTTTTGGTGCTTAGGAAGCTAAAATTACCATCTGCAGGTCAAGGTCAGCAAACAGTTCTGGAGAGGCTCAGGTGGTAAATATTTCAGGCATTGTGAGCCTAGAACCAAAACGGATGACCTCATATATGCATTTTATGTAAAAGAAAACAAAGCCAAGCATGGTGGCACACACATATAATCGAAGCACACAGGAGGCTAAAGCAAGAGGTAAGTTTGATCCTGACCTGAGCAACCAAGTGAATTAGCAGGACCCTGTCTCACAGTTTCAAAAGAAGAAAAAATTTAGAAGGTGCTGACGATGTAAATCAGTGAGCCTGGGTTCAACCCCCAGTACCATTAGAAAGAGTGAACAATTTCCATTAGATTTTTATTTGTAAAACTTAAAATATGATAAGTAAGCAGAATATTTCTTTTAAAAATCCTCCAGGTCTATTAATGAGAAAAAAATTGAATTCTTTGGGGAAGAAAACACTTCACAGGAGGCCGCAGACCTGAAAGCCACATTGACTTTGCTTTGAGGTCTAGCTCTAATCCTGGCCTTGCCTCCTGTACACTGTGTGCCAGTGAGCAAATTGTGGAGCTTTCTGAACCTCTTTGCCATTTCTAGGAGGGAAAATAATGGTTTCCGTAATATAGAAATAACTCTACTGGGAGAAGTAACTTGAATTTGTGTAAGGGATGTTAGTAATGAGTGTGCAGTCCTGAGCTCAGTGCTGTACACAGGTGCACCCAAAAGGCATGACAGCCCTCTCCTCAGTGGATTTTGAGGAGCAGAGAGGGACTCAGGAGCTCAAAAGATTTCATGGAATAACATTGTCAAGTTTCTGTCCTTTAGCAGGTGAAAACAGGCAAGTCATAAAGATGTGATGGATGAACAAAGGTATGAATGATTGAGTGTTCCAGAGTTCTCTCTGCTGCTGTCCAAAAACCAGCACTTTCTGATGGAAAAACCTCACACTCTCACACTCTAGTTCTCCTAGGCTTACTCTTCCTCCCCACAAAGTCATTATCAGAACTCAGGCTAAAGAGCAGCCCTAGTGACTCCTCCTGTGCCATGGTTTCTGAGCCAGCTGGTGGGAATATACCTGCAGACAAAACCCAGATGGGGAGAGGGCTGGAAGTAGCAGAGAGGCCCTTGGGGAATGCGCCCATTTCACATCCACAGCCAAAAATAATCGCAGTCAAAACTGGCTGAGTCCAGGAGTAAGTAGGTCATCAGTGGTTCCCAAAGTCCTGGGGGATCTGTGAGGTCAAAATTGTGAATGGGCCCTGAATAATTGATGTGGATACTCTGCCTTTAAGGAGATGGAGCTTGTGAGTGGCTTTCTCCCAGAGGACAGTATGGGGAAGGAAGGAAAGGGAGTTACTTTATAGTGGAGAGGCCTGACGAGCACTGCCTCAGCCACGGGCCGCCCCGCAGGGATGTGGGTCATGGTCAGTGTCCATGGTGAGGAGTCATGGGGGTAGCAAGTACCCTGATAGCACGCATTCCAAGAGCAGCTTGTCTGTGGGACTCTCCTCCCAGTGGAAGCATAATAACACCCACAGATTCCAACTGAGGGAATTACATGGAGTACCTGACAGCACTCCCCAAAAGTGTCAGGGATGCCAAAAATGAGGAAAATATGAGGAGCTGTCACCTCCACAAGGAGCCTAAGGAGACAGATAACTGTGTGTGACGTGGAATGCATGACTAGGGAGAGGACAGTAGGTAAACTCTAAGAAGGTCTGCACAAAGCTGGACACTACTTAATAACATCAATATTGGTTAATGAAACGTCAAAAATACCATGTTACTGTAACACATGAACAGAGAAAACTGTGGTATATGTGAATGTTCTCTGCAATTTTTGTAATTTTTCTATAAATCTAAAGCTATTCAAAAGTTAAAAGCTTATTAAAAATAATTGTGCCTGAGCAAAAGATCCATTGAAAGGACAAGGTGACAAATGGGTTTTATTATAACCAATCATGCAAAATTCATTTCTTATTATGAATGATTTTAGATTTCACATTGCATCTATCTTTGGAAAAGCTACCACTTGTGGAATATTCACAGTGATCTTGGAAGGCTATTCAAATACTCCTCTCTTCTTGTCCAACTATGTTTCAGTGTGAAGTCAGATATTTTTCATGTATTTCTGCCAATGACATAATGCAAAAAATGGAATGCAGAAGCAGTTATGAGAACCTATTGTCTTAAGGGAGTCATCAGAAAGACTTATAAAACTATAAAGCAGTTTTTTAAAAAGTTTTTTATTTTGTTTTTTGCCTGCCGGAATTTTTATAGGGAAAAGGTTGGATCTGTAAATCAGTTTGGGAGCAATTGCTGTCATGACAATATTGAACCTTCTGATCCGTGTACGTGGCAGCATCATGTCTCCATTTATTTCACTTGGCATTATTTTGTAGTTTTGTCACTACATTTTTAGTTTTAAAAAATGCAGTGTTTTTGGTTTCTTGGAGATTTTATTTGTTTATTTATTTATTTATTTTGGCATTGCAGGGATTGAACCTGGGGTCTCATGCATACTAGGCAAGTGCTCTACCACAGAACTACCCCTCAATCCCATTATTTTTAGGAATAAAATATTTGTGTTAACATGTTATATATGTTGTCATTATTAAGTGAATTAACAAATGTTTAAATTGTTCTCAGTTTTAGCTTCTCTTATAGTAAATAGCAGTGGCTATTACCCACATGAACAAAATCTTCTTGGGACTCTCCATAATGTTTGAGAATTTTGAGAATTCTCAATATTGAGAATATTTGAGAATAGTGAGATTTGAGAAACAGTGGAATAAATTAATAACTTTATTGAGGTCTCACAAACAACCAGTTAGGGAGACAACACCATTATCCTCCCTTGTAGGTGACAAAACAGGACCAGAGAGATGTGTTAACTTGCACAAGTCATGCAGGAAGCAGCGTAGCAGAGACAGGACTTGAACCCCTGTCCAAGGCACCCTACAAACTGACATCCGTGTGGTCTTCCCCTACCCTCTAGGTCTGCGAGTTCTGCAAGGGCGTGGCCCCCAATGACAGCCCCGTGGTCTATGCGGACAGGGCCGGCTACAACAAGCAGTGGCACCCGGCCTGCTTCGTGTGTGTGCGGTGCTCCGAGCCGCTGGTGGATCTCATCTACTTCTGGAAGGATGCTGCACCCTGGTGTGGCCGCCACTACTGCGAGAGCCTGCGGCCCCGGTGCTCCGGCTGTGATGAGGTGGGCAGGGCAGAGGTCAAGGTTGGGGAGTGGGAGTATTCATGATACTCCATAGGTTGGGAAACTGAAGCCCGCTTCCCTGGATGCCCTCAACCCCATCTTCCCATCTGCATAATGGGGCTGACACTGGTGCCCTGGCATGGTGTCTTAGTTACTTTTCTTGATGCTGAGACAAAATACCCAACACCTAAAATTAAGGAAGGAGAGGTTTATTTAGCTTACAGTTTGTGGAGGTTTCAGTCCATAATCAGCTGGCTCCAAAGCAGGGTGGCATGGCACAGGGGCAATAGTCCAAGGTGGCAGAAGACAGCAAAAGCAACAAGAGCAAAAATGGGGAAACAAGCCTCTTTTCCCTCCTTATACTGTATATCTGCAATCAGCCCACACCCACACCATCTCCGTGCCCTCCTCCTGCACAGGCTCAGGATGAACACAAAGTAAGGACCCCGCGCCTGCTCAGTCACACAGTTACCCTAAACACCCCAGAGGATAAGGGCGTGTCCCCGATGCCCCGGATGCAGAACTGCTGTTTCACTTAGTTAAGCTTCTAAACTCCTCAGATTGACACAGTGTAGCAACCATAGCACACGGGCTCTAGGGTGGGTTGGACACTGAGTGCTATCAACTTGGCCGTGGCACAGTGCCTGGCACTTAGCAAGTGCTCAGAGGGGCCCGGGGTGCACCAGACTCACCCCTGCAGTCATGTCCGTAGCCACGTAGTTACTAATGCCTGCGCCTTGGTGCAACTGCTTCTGTAGTGGGAACGAGACCACCCAGCCCAAGGAAGACCTGGTAGGGTAAGTGAGGGCCTTTGTGGACGAACAGGCGTGGCCCTGGCCTGCCCGAGTGACCAACAGATGGCAGCTACAGCTGGTCTCGCCGTGGTTAGCGTAATATATCATACGTGTAACTATGCAGCTTCCATGGAGCGCAGCGTAGTATTGCTGTGCAAGGGGTCCGATGCCTCATATGGGAGTGCATGGAAAGGAGCTCTAAATAGGTCGGTCCTACACAGTAGTAGGCCATGTTGCTGTGCGTCTGGAAGCAAAAGTTCATGTGGAGGTTAGAGATGTCTGCTCCACACTGACTGGAGGTCTGCCTTCTGCCACCTTCTCCGTGGCAGTCTCACAATACCTCTTCCCTAATGACTGTGAGATTCAGTGATATTGAGAAGGAAAAGGCCTGCTCATAACCTCATGATGGACGGGACCACAGCGTAGGTGCTGTCCAGATTCTCCATTATTTACTTAGGGTCAGTAATGAGCTCCATGCTTTGGGTGTCAGATGCCATGCATATCTCACAGTGCTCCTTTTGAGACGTAATAACATAATGTCCATTTTACACTGGAGAAAAAATGCAGTTTAGAAGGGCCAATGATAACTACGTAGAGCTGTCTTTGGGTCAGACGCTGTTCTAAGCATTTCATGTGCAGTAGCCCATCTTGCTCTCTTAAAACCCTGTGAGTGACAAGTATTTGTATCCCCATTTTACAGATGTGGAAACTGAGGCACAGAAAGGTTAAATTTGCCCAGAGTTATAAAGTTGACAAACACCTAGTGAAAACTCATAACCAATTCCTCTTGACTCTAAAATCAGAAGGCCTGTGTGACCAGTTTGCTATTCTGTTCTTCCTAAGCCTCTTGGTTCTCACTGTGTGAATATTCCAAAGTGTCACTTTATTCCAAGCCCAAGGACCCTCTATGTTCTTGCTCTTAAAGATTGGCCATCAATAGCTTACCTATCACTAAGCTGTCTTCACTGGATTATGTTATTCCATCTCAAAACAACTGGCCTTTGGAGTTTCCAAAAAAGCTATCACAGATACTAGAAAAATAAAACCTGCCTACACCAGAGGATTTTTTTTTTAATCTGAGAAGGTAAGATGCAACCATGACCTTCACCAAATTCTCTACTGATTGCCCCAAAGTTACGTCAGATTTTTTCATGGAGGCCTCTAAAGACCAAAATAAGAATGAGATGGGATGAGCCCCCATCCTGTGACTTGTATCTCGACCTATGGGCAGAAGTGGAGTCACTGCTTTTTCCTGCTCCCCCTTCTAGATCATATTTTCAGAGGACTACCAGCGTGTGGAAGACCTGGCCTGGCACCGGAAGCACTTTGTCTGTGAGGGTTGCGAGCAGTTGCTGAGTGGCCGGGCATACATTGTCACCAAGGGTCAGCTCCTGTGCCCCACCTGCAGCAAGTCCAAGCAGTCCTGAACGACTCCCCCCTGCAGAATCCATCGGTTGCCACCAAGAAGCTGTGGCATCCCAAGGGCTGATGTCACCACCAGCAAGCACCATCATCAGTGGTTTTTCCTGTGGGGATGTATACGTTCTAGGTTGAGTGGTGGTGGATCTTTGAGGGTCTGTAGTTGTAAAACCAGAAATGTTCTAAGAAGTCTTAGGATGAATTTCTTTTTGCTGTTATTTTTTCCTAACTACAATGAACTGAAGACACAAACAGCACCTACAAGGAAGCGCTAGGGAGAATTCCCCAGAATGCAATCCTGAGTGATCGGTCTCATAACCATAGGATGTGTGAGCTTTGTTGTAGACATGGGGACCTTTCCAGGAACAGGCTGGGACCCCAGCTGTCACCCATTGCCTCTTTTTCTCAAGTGGAAATTAAATTTTAAATAAACAACTTTTTTGGCATGATAAAATTATCAATAAAATTTTCTGAATTCCACGTGCACCTGTATTTAGTGACTTACACTGTGGATGTGACTTCCGCAACTCCCACTTGCCTATGATCCTGTTACGCAGGCCAGGGCTGGCGAGAAGCGTCCCTTCACCAGTGTCCCACGATTTCCACCAAGCATCCAGTTCTCCAGACAGAACCTCTCTGGGTCCCCGCTGCAGATGCTCCCAGGTCCCTGATGGAAATGTGTGTCCCTGCTCCATGGAACCCCAAAAAGCGGCCTCCCAGAACCTGTGAGCTTGTTTTAGCTGAGGGCCCGACTCAGCTGCCCTCAGAGCCAGACTAGCTGAGAGTGAGGCTCCCAAAGTGGGAGTGGGCGGAGTCAGGCTGCCAGACAAAGCTACTTCGGTCCCACCAGCAGCCACCACAGGCGATACCATAGCCAGTGTGCACAGATCTTCAAAAATAAAGACTATGAGAACTCTCCCAATTCTTAACTGTTGCCAACAGACCATTAAATGAGCTGCACAGAACATGTCACTAGGACAGATTTTCTCTCCCACTTCTGATCTGTCTGGGTATTTTCATCTCTCAAATTAATTTCCTTCCCACATGTCTCAGAAAACAACCATATCATTTTATTGTGGGTGATATAAGACTGAGAATGACAGAGGTCCTAGGAGAGCGGTAGTGAACCTATGGCACGCGTGCCGCGGCTGACTATTTGTTATCATTGAAAGCTCTAAAAGGTTCACCCTCATCGTCTGAGGAGGTCACACTCGGTCACCAACAGTCTTGTTCCTAACCTTCTCCCTCAGTTGCTAAGTGTCTTTAATTTTGCCAACTACCATGCTTTCTGATTCCCCATGCACGTGCTTCACAAGTTTGATGAAATATTTCCAGCACTTCCTACGGTGGTAGTTTTCTGCCTCCAGCTACCCGTACCAGCTGGCCTCAGTTTTGCCAGCATTCTCTGCTCTCAAAGTCAAGTGTTGAGAACCTCATCGCCCCTACCCAAGCTCCATGGCAACCTGTTGCCTGTTAAGAACCAAGTCTTCACTTGGACATTTGAATCCTTCCAAACTTGATTATTTTTCTTCTTTCTTAGAACTCTGTTTCTCTAGGTGTTTGTCTTCCTGGACAGGTAGAGGCTTCTTCTGATGAGTCCCTCAACCCCTACCCCAGGCCTCTGCTTCTGAAGTAAAACCTGCTTCTCAGGCCCTTTCCTGAAACACCAATGGAACAGTTGTCCATCCATCCATCTATCCATCCATCCCACAAACATTCACTGAGTACTGCAGAGTTCCAGCTCTCCTGCTAAATACAGGGGACAGAAGCAGTGTGCCTAAAAAAGAACAATGGCCATTGCCTTGTGGACTTTACCATCTGAGGAGATAGGTGTCAGGCAAATACACCCCAAAGTCAACGTAAAATTATAGCTACTGTGGATTCTGTTAAATGGAGATCCCTGATACTGTGTAGCATAGAAGAGACTGGACCTTGCTAGGAATGTCAAGAGATGTGTCCCAGGATGGTGACATCTGAACTGGAATCTAGAGGGTGACTCAATGCTGAGTCGGCAAAGAGGGCAGGGACAGTGGCTCAGGATGCAGATTTGAATGGGATGTGCAAAAGCCTGGGGGTAGGAGCTGCACCTGTTCATTAAGTGCCTTCTTGCTGTGCTGGACACAGTGATGCACGTGGCCATGGGCTGGCAGGACCCAAAGATCTGTGTGGCAGCAGGCTGGAGGGCAATGAAGGTGGCAGCGGACACAGCCAGCCTGTTCCAGCTTCCTGGGTGACAGAAAGGATGGGTTTCTGTCCTAGGAACAATGAGGAGCCTTCAAACAGATGCAGGCAGGAGCGACCACCCAGCACAGACCCACTGAACACCCCCAGACCTTGGTCCTGCCGTCTTCCTGTCTATTCCTGACACTTGTCCTTACATGTGGAGCCCTGAGCCTTCTCTGGGCGCCTCCTTCCAGCCTCTCTTTCCTGCGATTCCCCCCCCACCCCGGGTCACATCCCACCTTCTGCATTTCCTGTCCCAGGTTGATGACAGTCCCTCAGTAAGTCTCCTTGCCCAGACCTGGCCCGGCCTACACACCACCCCAGATGAATTGGTCAGAATCAGACCTCGTTGTGTACTCTCCCCAAGAACAGTTATAGAGCAAGGCTCTTGCCTGTGGTCCCAGCACTCAGGAGGCTGAGGCAGGAGGATTGTGAGTTCTAGGCTAACCTGAGCTACATAAGTGACAACTTCACTTAAAACATCAAACTAACATAAAGGAATCAATCACAGGCTCCCTTTGCACACAGAGGTAAGTAAAAACTTCTGCTCCTTGCCATCAAGTTTAATTTTCCTGGACGCAAACCTCCTTGCTTTCTGTTCCCCTTTCCCAAGCCAAATGAACAGCATGTGGTTCCCATGTAACATTCTCCGCCTCTTCACCATCATTCAGGCTCTTTGTTCCCTTTTCCTGAGGTCCCCTGGGCTCTAGCTGATTGCTATCTCTCCCAGAGGCGCTGTGGCAGAGTGGGACCCTGGACCACAAACAGGTGGATGTATGTGTTAAAATACAACAACTGCAACTCTCCCCGTGTCAGCAGGAAGAAGGGCTGCCATGGCCACCACTCCCAGCCTCTGGAAGCTGTCCTGGCCTTACACCGCCCTGGGGCTTTTTAGGCACCCTTACAGTGCACCCGAGATACCTCATGCTGACTGGGAGTCTTGCACTGTTTTGACCATGCTGTAATTATTTGTTTGTAAAAGGCTTGCCTTATTTATTTATTTATTTATTTATTTATTTATTTATTGGTGGTACATACTAAGCTGTATCTCAGCCCTTTTTAAAGTATTTTTATTTTGAGACAGTATCTCTGTAAGTCACTAATTTACCCAGACTGGTCTCAAACCTGTAAACATCCTGCCCCAGACTCCCAGCAAATAATAAATGTACATATTATGGGGTAAAGTGTGATGAGTTTATTTTTAAGCTTTTTTAAAAATTGGATTTCACTGTAGCATTTTCATACATACATATAACATACTTTGATCATACCTATCTGTGCCTTGCCAGTGTGACGTTTTGGTCATGATTACAATGGAGAATGAGCTATGAACTTTTCCAGAACAATCTTGTCTTTGTTTCTCTAACTCCTAGCACAAAGGCACAAACAAGCGAGGGCTTTTGGCTGGCTCTGTTTGCTAATGTACAGTGTTCTCAGCGGTGAAGATCAAACACAGAGACTTCAGAGAGGGGCAGACACGTTTGGCCACCCACACACTGCCAGCCTCTACCCCATGCCCTTCTTCCTCTACAGACCTGCTTCCCAGGGTATGAACTCACTTTCCCAGCCCCTTTGCGGCAAGAGGGCTGGCCAGGGGCCTTGTCCATCAGGATGTGTCTTGGAGAACTTTTCTTCTTTAATGAAAACACATGCTCTCGAGAAAATAGCCCTGCTTTCATTTTCTTTTTCTTTTGGTAGAATTTCAAGCTTTCCCAAAAAGTTACAGGACGAGGACAAAGCCATTGGAGAGTATTGTTGACACAGTGCCTCATCACCCCTGAGCACTGTAGTGTCTGATTCCAAAACAAGGACATTCTCCTGTGACTGCAGTACAACCATCAGAACCAGAAAACAAACAAACATGATGCCCCTACTTAACCTTTGGATGCAACTCCATGTCACCAGCAGTCCCACACCCAGAGATCCAGGCCAGATCACACAGTGCACTTAACTGTCTTGTCCCTCTAGTCTTCTTCAATTAGGTGTTCCCTGATCTTTCCTTAATGTTCAGGACCCTGTTTCCTGAAAGATTAAAGGCCAGCTTGCCCATCAGATTGAATTGGGCTTGATACTTCCTCATAATTAGACTCTGGACATACATTTTTGGAAGGACTATCACAGAGGTAACACTGCTAACTTTTCATTGTATCAAAAGAAATAGTGTATGTTTTTTATTTGTTCCCTTAAACAAATTGTTCCCTTCAAAATTATTACTTTTGAACACTTGATTACGCTAGTATTTGCCAGGTTTTTCCATTATAAAGTTACTCTTTTTCCTTTGCTTTTAATAAATGTTTTGCAGGGAGGTTCTCTGAGACAGTGTGAATATCTAGTTCCTCATCAAAACCCACCTACTGGCTGTTAGTATCCACTGATGTTTCTCAATTGAGAGTTCATTGTTACTATGATAGTTTCCAAATATTTTTGTTCTAAGTCAATAGTTCCTTTACATTTATTAATTAGAATTCTATTATAATACAAAGCTCTACCTTCTCTCCATTTGATTATTTACATCACTGGGACAATGAACTAACCTCTGGACTTCTTACATGGGACAATTCCTGATTCTTTGTATAGACTGACACATTTTCTCATTGTTCCATATGTTTCCTCATGCAGTTTCTCACTAGTAGGGCTTTTGTTCACTGCAGCCAAAAACAGTGTGATTGATACCCAAGATATCCTACCCTGTAGCTTAGGTTAAGTACCTATTTTTGAATTATTCATATTATGCTCATTCATTTGGATTCTTTCAGTTGAAAGATAAACATTTTATATACTTACCATCTACACATGATGTTTTGATACAGTCATATGTCCCTTACCACAGGGACGCATTCTGATAAGTGTACCTTTTTCAGTTTGGTGAGTGTGTGACCATCTCAGTGTTCCTGCACACAAACCACGATGGTCAGTCATGGATGTGGCCTCGTGATGGGCTCAGTGGACACAATAAATGTGAGATATGGGAGCCTGTTGCTGGTATAACATGACTAATGTTTTACAGTAAGCTTTTTTTTATAAGTAAAAGGAGTACACGCTAAAATAATAATAAAAGTATAGTGTAGTAAGTATACAAACCAGTGATGTTACAGTCATTTGTTTTGCTAATGGCTGTTATCAAGTGTCAAGGACAGTAGATAAGCCTGTGTGCTGTGTTTCCTAAGACCGGCAACATAGCCAGCCATGTATAAGTATGTCACACACAGATATGTACAACACATAATGCAGTACTTCATAATGAAAAAGAGTTTTTGAAAA